CATGTCCTAGTAACCCTGACCTTGGGCAGGTCACTGCTAACTGCTTCTTCATTCTGTGATAAAGGGACTGCAAACTGCCCTGGCTGTTAGTCTGCCAAAGCCAAACGAGAGCATGCAAGACACTGTGTGGGAAACATGAAAAGTAACACATATTGAGGTGGCTGCATTGCTCTTTCTAAAAACCAATTTCACGTCAGTCAAGAAACCCGCCCCGCACCACCTGCCCAGAAGTCCAATCCTAAATGTCCCCTTTGTGGAGTCCAAGGTGATGCTGATGCCTGCTGTTTTGCTCATAGCCGATGCTCAGCCCCAGCCTCAGCTGGCTCTCTATGGCCGAAACACTCCTCCTGGACTAGCTACCCAGGTTTCTGGAAGGGTTCATTTCCTCTGCTTGAGGCTTTGAGGCCAGTCACCTGACCCTTTACCAGGCACTGCCTGGGACTGTTATTTCATTCTGCATCTTTGAGCCACTGGACTTGCTTGGATTTACCAAGGGAGTGAAATCTTCTGTGGCTGAACCTGTACATTCTCCCACACAACCAACAGGGAAACACCAACAAGGTTCTGTGGCCAGTCCACAAAATCCTGTTTCAACAAGCACATGCTTGTACGGGTCTTTCTTTAGAAAGGTTTTATGAAAGAAACAAAACAAAAACTTCTCTCAGAGCAGTTCAATGTGGGATTTAAGGCTTAACCAGTCTCAATAGTAAATCCATCTTCTCCACCTAGCTCAGCCTGTTTTGGACTTAACGCCTCCCCTGCCCTTCCCCCACATCGCCTCTCAGAGGATGCCTTCCCTTGTTACAGATTGATAAACAGAGTAACAAGACAGAATACCAGAAAACAGAAGGCAAGCAAAGCCCAATGGTAACTGTGACTGGGAATGGGAGAGGCTAAGCAAAGGCAGAGGGACGTGGAAATCCTCGCTCTGTCCCTGTCTGCATTTGTCTCACTCAAAATCATCCTTCTCTGCAGAGGCCCAGCAGGGAAGTGGCAGGTGCAGGTATGCGCCTATCCTGGGTCATCTCCTGTGGGCATGATTTCAAAGTGCAGGCCTGAGGACACTCTCCTGCCAAATGCCAGGGCTACTGGGGGGTTGGAGGGTGGGGGGCAAACTGTGACCCCCTCAAGTCACATCCCAGTCTGGACAGGAACTTCAGGCCCAGTCAGAAACTGTGCTCACACTTTCACTTGCCATTCAGGTACTGAAGTACAGCGTGTGTGTGTGAGAGAGAGTGAGAGAAGATTTATTCATTTTATTAGAAAGGCAGGTTTACAGAGAGAAGGAGAGACAGAGAATGATCTTCCATCCTCTGGTTCACTCCCCAAGTTGCCTCAATAACCAGAGCTGAGCCGACCCAAAGCCGGAGCCAAGAGCTTTTTCCAGGTCTCCCACTGGGTACAGGGTTCCAAGGCTTTTGGCCATTCTTGATTGTTTTCCCAGGCCACAAGCAGGGAACTGGATGGGAAGTGGAGCAGCTATGACATAAAGGTTCACCTATATGGGATCCAAGCACATGTAAGGCAAGGATTTAGCCACTGAGCCATCACACCAAGCAAGATGGGTTTATATTTTTTCATGGAGGTTAACTATTGAAATATCAAAACCACCTGAGCAAGAACCTCAGCGCATACCCTACATCCAGGATCTGGGGAGGGTGGGAAATCGGGTGGGCCTTCTCCCTTAACACCCCCCTTTAAACATGAAGGAAATAATATGGAAAAATAATAGTCTTACTCACTTTCCTGTAGCCCTTGAACCTTTTTACCCTAATTAACTATGTAAAGATTGTCAAAATATTTTAAAAAATTAAAATAAAAAAAACTAGACCTGTAAGAAGATTCATAGTCCACAGTGACTTCAGGGCAAGCTATTTGAAAGAAATGGTTTTCTTGTTTATTTGCTTTTTATAAAGGTTTACTTACTTTCTTTAGAGGGCAGAGTGTCAGGCAAAGAGACAGGAAAGAGAGAGAGTGTGTGTATGTCTTTCATTTCATGGTTTACCACCACCACCTTCCCACAGCCCAGAGCCAGGAGTTTCATCCATGTCTCCTCAAGTACTTGAGCCATCTTCTGCTGCTTTTCTGGGTACATTAGCAGGGAGTTAGTCTGGAACTGTGCAGCAGCCAGGATTTGAACCAGCACCTATACAGGATGCTAGCAATACAGCTGGCAGCTCAACCAGCTATTCTATAGTGCCAGCCCCCAATTCTGCTTTCTTCTCTATGTAGTTTGTTAGATTCCTGGCTCGGCTCCATCATGATCCCACTGCTCCATGAACTGGCACAAGTGAGACAGAAAGTGGCATAGCTATCTCTAATAGACATCGTGCCTGGGCCAGCACCAGAGGTGGTGGGGGGGGTTTCTACCTTCAACATTCTCCAGAGGGTCAAAGTAAAGTTTCTTCACAGCCCAAATGCTTACTTCTAACCTGACTGAATCTAACTACCAATATTTGGGGTAGGGTAGAATTCTATGAATATCTAAATAATTGTTTCTCTGACTATTCACTTAAAAAAAAAAAGCCCAAGTTTTCTCCTCTGTGTAGGAACTGGCTTTAAGAGACTATTAGTGAAGTAAATTTGGATAATCTGATCCCTCAAACGTTTATCTACTGCCTACAGCCAAACTGGTGATTTAAGGGCTAGGACTGCCAATTCTGGCCTGCCTGAGATGCAGCCCCAGATGGAGCGTAGTTTGTCCTAGGCAGGGTTTTGGGTCACCAGTGCAGAAAAGCCAGTGCTAGCTGAATGTTATCTGATGACACACTTAGCTGTGGACATGACTTCACCTAAGCCTGGAAGCTCATTAGTTTTGGAATCTGAATGTACAAGGATCCTCTGGGGCAGGCATGCGCGGAAAAGGTCACCTACGGGGAGTGTCTCCGACATGAGGCCTTGATAGTCCCTGCAGCCGATGACACAGGGTGATTTGTGCCCTTTTCAGAGAGTTTCACGAAGCAACAAGACCACAAGGCCAAAGAGGCAGAAAGTCTGCGGCTTAAAGGAGCAAGAGCTTTAGCTCATTCTGTGGTGTCTTTGTTTTGGGGACTAGATTAACTGGACTGCTGGATCTCTAACCCTAACTGGCTCTGGGGATGGGGTAATAAAAAAGAAATTGAAGTGCCTGGAGGTTTACAAAGTGCTTTCTGACACTGACTGTCTGTCTCAGAGATTGGAGATGTGGCTATTTCACCACCTCCCTCCTCCCTCTGTTCTCCTGATCTCTGGGTCACTTCCCAAACCTCCGTCTCCCCATCCCCTCCCCCCAAAATTCACTCTTCCCGTAAATAAAGAGGGAAGTGAGAGGTATCCACGTACAACTAAGACTTATGCTGCTTGCTTTTCACTCCCTCCTAACACCTCTGTTACCGTGTTCAGAACAATGGCTGCAGCCCCGATCCCACTTATGGGGACATTCTTTAGGACACACTCTTCCTGGTATAACAGAATTATAGTTGTCAAAGGTGAATATTTAGCTCCCCACAGCCCAGAAGACTGGACCCTACTGAACCAAAACCAATGTTCACACTGCTTTCTATCCATATGACCTTCAACAATTTTTTTAAAAGCTACTTTCAAGACACCAAAAAAAAAAATTAATAATTACACTAAGATAAATGTTAAGGAAAAAGAAAAACAGCATTGAGAAGTGGGGCAAAGCAAGGATGGCAAAAATGATAAAGCTTCACACATCATAATAATTGTAGCCTAAGTTTAACTTAAACAAGGCTCACTTCAAAACCTAATCAAGGGCTGCCCTCCTGTTTGCTCTCTGCACCCTGACCCATTGCTCCCATCCCCACACCACACACCGACCACTTTCTTACAGCTACCATGGTTTGAGTAGGGGCCCTCTCAATGTGTCTGCCTGACCAAGAAACCTGAACAAAAGATAAGGCAAGCTCAGGGAACAAAGAGTACGGGTAGAACTCTCCATCTCTCATGGGTACGTCCTGTGACAGAAAAGTCCAGCCCCATTTATGCCACACTGGAAGAGACCCTTGTGACTGTGGGCTAAGAAGAGGGCAGGTGCAACCCTGACCCCTCTGCTGTGGTAACTGGTGAGCGAGTTGGTCTGCAGAAAGATCCACTGAGGCTGTCAAGTTACAGGGTGGAGATCAAGTTAAAAATATGGCTTTCTGGCAGCCTGGGCAACCAGCAAGCAGCATCATATTTTCCTGGTGATGTCACCACAGATGTGGGGCTCTATCCCTGGGCGTCAGCCTTTGGCTTGGCCCCAGCGCCACCTATGGAAACGCCAAGTGTTCAGTAGAATAGAGCATCTTGTTTTGAAACCAAGGCGAGACGAAACCTGTTGGGTCAGTCCCCGTGACTGGATTAAGCTTCTGTGGTTTAAGGTGCATAAACAGAAGTCACATCAGAAGGCCGCAGTAGCTCTGGGATACAATTTTCCCCCCTGAGCTGACAGCTTCCCTGCCTGGAAAGGCAGAGTGGATTCATCAGGAGCTCTGTTCCCAAGGAAACAAGCAAACACAAGCCTCTGCCTCCACTCCCAAAATGAAAGGCTTCCAGGGAAGAAAAGAAAAAAAAAAATGTCAGAGACCACTGAAGTCAATTCTGGCCACCCTAAGATGGAGGCTCAGATTTTCCAGAGGACCAGTAAGATATAATTTTAGAAATCATTCCATGATCTGGTGTGGGCTGCAGACGCATCTGGGAGCCAGCGCCTGAGCCTGGCTTTTTCAATCTCCTGCACTGTATAACGGGGACATCAGAAAGGATCTTTCTGACCAAAGGCAGGAACCTCACAAAAGGCCAGAAAGAGGCCATTTTGTTAAAGAATGCCTCAGGACTCAGAGGTGACATTGGAGAAATCCCCAAAGCATTCATCTTACTTATCAAGATTCTCCTTTTCAAAAGTTATTAATCATTAATTCCAGAACTAAATAGGAGACAAGCTCATGCATCATTCCTAAAAAAAAAAATTAAAATTTCCCTAACCACGGTACAAGGCCCTTGACAACGTTCCCACTTACCAGCCTCTCTCCAGAGAGGACTTCCAGCAGCTTGATGAGCATCCGTCCATCCCGAAGGTCAGTGTACAGATCTGTGATGCGGCAGGACACTCGGGCCAGGTGGGAGTTGACCCACTTGGTGAAGGTCTTCTTCTGCACGGCCTCACGCTCATCTGCAAGCAGAGGAGAGCTCGCTTTACCACCAACCACACAGCACAGGTGGCAGCAGGCGTGTGCCAGCAGACTCCACGGACAGAAGGAAGCAAAACTAGACTCCAGTGAAACCTCTCCTTAGCACCTCTTAACCACAGTCATTCTCCTAAAGACTATAGGAATCCTGCGATCCCCTAGGCCTACTGCCAGCACAGACTCCCACCGCTTCCTTTTCTCCTCCTATGCCTGCTAAGAGTCAGCAGGAAGCAAAAGATCCTAACTGAGTCCCCTGCAATCCTGCCCAATAGCTACAGTGTCTGGTGAAGTTTCTAAATATATGTAACAGCTCTTCCTTTTTCAAAAAGTGATTCCAGGAGAAGTGCAGAATCTATGAAAGGGCATGCTGCACAAGAGCTCAGGAGGTGGCAGGGAACTGCTTCCTTCACGCAGCAAGGCTTAGATACAACATCTGACAAGACAAATTCACTTAGACCTTGGTTTGCAGCGACTGCTTCACCTGCTCTGACACATGTCACTGCCGACAGGAGAGAACACAGCCAGCAACACGGTCCAGTGCTGGAGTGCTGGGCATCAGCGGGGCAGACCAAGATCTGGCCCCAGGACACTGTACTCGGTGTCTTCTTTTGTAAACTTACTACACAACTATTAGCACCCATCTTGGACCATTTAATGAAAAGGTAACTGCTGGTTTATGATCTGAAGTGTGATGTGATAGTGGAACATTACAAGTGATCCAGGAAACAATACCATGTTTTTCAAGTCTCAGGGATCAAGTTCTGTTGCATTCAAAGTATTAAACTCTGGATACACGCTTCTCTCTAGAACTGAACCTTGAGATGTCATAAAAAAAAAAAAAACTTCCAAATTCCTTTCTCTATAAAATATTCTAATTGTCGGCAGCAGAAAATCTTGAGTGAATATTCAGAGAATGTGCTTAATACCAACCTACTCACACTACCCTGCAGAGCAAGTCTTCTATGAACTACAATACCTGCCCCTTGCCACACCAGAACCCAAGACTTACTCCTTCCAGTGCAAACCCAAACCAATAAAATAACTGATACACATACAAAGAACAGACAGTCAACCAGCTCCAAGATACAGAAGGCCCTCATCTTAGGAAGTTTCAATGTAACATTTTTTTTTAACTTTATGATGGTGCAAAGTGATATACATTCAGCAGACACCATGCTTCAAATTGTGATCCTTCCCAGGCCAGTGACAAGCAGCATGGTACTCTTGATGCTGGGAAGCAGCAGTAAGCCATGGCTTCTAGCAGCCACGTGATCACAAAGGTAAACAGCCCAGACTCAACTGTGCTAAGCTATGTTACATGGTAAATTAAATGCATGCCATGCAGTTATCAACTTACAAAAAATCAGCTTATGACGGGCTTAGCAGGATGGAACTCCATTATAAGCTGAAGAGCATCTGTATTTCCAAACCATTGGGTGTCACCTAAAATGTCACCCCTGCTGATGAGGGATATGTCTGGTGGCCTGGCAGTCCTGGGTTCCCAGGCCAGAGGGACAACAATCAGCCCGGTGTGCTGGGCTGGCTTCGCAGAGATCTCCAGCAACCCCACCACACAAAGGGAGCAAGGCAGAGATGGCAGTGGATGAGCTTTTCCTAATGCCAACCTGGCAAGCAAGCCAGCTGGGACACCTGCCAAGACACCCAGCCACCTGCTGTCGTCAGCAGTGGCAGCTCCTCACTATCCAGCCTTCCCCTGAAGGAGCAGCCCATCCAGATGGAGAGAGGGCCTTTCCCCAGGGACAATGGCCAGCCACAAACAAAGGACCAGAAAGGGCAGGACTGGGGGAACAAGAAAGGGGTGGGGAGGAACAGTTGCTGACTGCGATAGGAGCTACGTAGGCTACGTGGGAAGACCCCACAGATTATTACCCACACAATCATACCCGTGATGGTGACACGAAGAGCATAAGTTTTGGCCCTAGACTGGCGGCTTTAAGAAAAGCAGGTTCAAAGTGGAGCATATTGAATTTTGGCCAGGCACCCATCACAGATGGTCTCTGTTGAGGCACATAACCCCCTGGAGTTGTTTAAATCACAATATCCTTCATGTGCCATAGTTGTCTTTAATGAAGCTCCTGGTGGGCATCCTGGGTTATTGTTAACAAGGGCTTTGGGACTCCAAGTCACCACCACACTCCGCCTATCAGGGCAGCAAGATCAGAAAGAAAATCTGCCTGGATGGAACTAATCCTAAATAAACAAGCCCAAAACGTGTTCTTTGGCCAGTCATGCTCACTCCTTCGAGAGAAGCTCCTGCCTGGTTCAGGGAACACCTCTGGGTTCTTTCAGGTTCTGAATAGACAGATTCCTTCATGAGAAAAGCCCAAGGCCTTGCCTCAGATAGTGGGACACATCCTACCCACAGCGCCCTGTTCCAAACAGCGGCAGCCCCATCCCAGCCTTCTCTGCCTCAAGAGGCAAACACTGAGAACCCAATTGATAAACAAAACACACGACTTCCCAGAGTGCCTGGGTAGCAGAAACTCAAATTAGAAGGGAGCTAAGAAAAGAGGAAGAAAAGTTATCATTTAAAAACAAACAATAAAAGTGAAAAGCAAACAAATGAAATAAAACCACCTCTCTTCCTGTCCCCTTACTGCATTTTTCTCACAAGAGCAGGCTCCAGGTAACCTAAGAGTGCTAGGAAAAAAAAAAGAAAAAAGAAAAAAACCAAAAAGCTTGTAAGGCTGAAGTTCTTTGGACTCACATCAACACAATGGAAAAGGCCTGGAAGATTCCATCTGGGGACTAGAGCAGAACCAACAACCTTGTAGGACACAGAGGAGCAGGAAACGGACAGAGCAGAAACACAAAGCCCACCTGGTTCCTGTGTCTCCTACGCCTGGTGGACAGTAAACACTTCTGAGACAGGAAGGGGGTGGGGGGAATCTGCCAGGGGCCCAAATGAGGACCAGGCCATGCGTCCTTGGGGATTCCATCCTTTGTTCCACCCTTCCCGGGAAGGGATGATGACATCACTCCTGCATTCCCCACCCTGCCAGGCCAGGGGAAGCAGGGTGGGGAGGGGAGATAGGCAGATGCCTGAGGGAGAGTGGGAGGCCCTTGGCACAGACAGTGGAAGACAGTTCTGAGGAGCATGGCCAAGCACAAGCAGCGGTCACTGGGTGCAAGCTGTGAGAGGGGGTGCTGGGAGCAATAGAGGAGGTGGGTCCACCCCCACGCTTCCAGTGATAGGCAACCATGGTGATATGAAGACATGGCCCTAGCCAGCGCCACACTGACCTGGCCACAGGGAAAGGATGTCCTCCACCAGTGAGTTTGTCCCCAAGGACATCCGGCAGTGTCCACAGACATTTTTGATGGTCATCTTGGGAAAGGGGTGGCATTAATAGCATCTGATGAACAGAGGCCCCACAAGACAAAGTACCATTTGTGCCAAGGTTGGGAAACTGTTATACAACTTGGACGGGCATTCCACTGCAATCCCCACAGGGACACAGAACAGGCGTGATCCTGGTTCAGCATTCTTCGCTCATAACCAAAGCTTTTTGATTCTCAGAGCTGCGTGCTCTAGTTCTCTGGCTGTAGAAGTTCTCCTCTTCAGACTCATGTATTCCACAATGGGCCCACTGTGGGGCAGAGCAGTACCCCACAGTGGCAGGAGCACGGGGCAAGGCCCAGTCTGGGTCAGTGTGAACACCATGAGCCTAAGTCAAGTTGCAGGATAGGAAATGACTGTGAATACAAGGGTACTGCATTACGGACCGCACAGTACAGCACCTTTCTGCAATGGTCTCTGCGCAGAGTGCTAACCCTAACCACATTAACCAAATGCCCAACATTCACGGCTGATGGGAAGGGAGGGAGACCAGGAACAAGGCAAGGTTTGAAGCCAAGGAACATCTTTTGATGCAAAATAAGTGACATGAAATGGGAACTCTCCAAAGGCCCAATTCATTATTCCCTTAAAGAACAAGTTTGTACTCAGATGAAGAGAACAAATATTCCTTTTGTTTTCAAGGAGCCTAGGCTGTGGGTGTGGCCAGGGAATATTCACTATCAGCTTTTGTACTGAGATAAGGGCCTACCATAAATAAGAGAGGCAATCCTGAATATTTTTTTTGTGTAGTCAAACAGTTAAAGCTAGTCTTGGGTTCAAACTAGAAAAGGTGTTACAAAAAGAAAAACAGAATAACAGAAGAGATGAGTGCTCAGAGAATTGGAAGTAAAACCTGCCGTATGACCCAACTATCCCGCTCTTAGGAATATACCCAAAAGAAATTAAAACTACATATGAGAAGGGGATCTGCAGTCCTATATTTACAGCAGCATAAGCTACAATAGCAAAGACATGGAAACAACCCAGATGCCCATCCAAAGAGGAGTGGCTAAAAAGAAACTGTGGTACATATACTACATGGAATATTACTCAGCCATTCAAAAGAATGAAATTATACAATTTGCAACTAGATGGTTCCAGCTAGAGACCATTATGCTCAGTGAAATAAGTCAATCACAAAAAGAGAAATACCCTATGTTCTCTCTAATATAAGGAATCCATTATGCAAATTGGACTATACGGTGGTAGAGTAATGGATACTACTGGGAAGTGAAAGACACAGTGCAACATGCATCTCTGCTTTCAAACAAAAGATAGACTCCCAACAAAAGTGTTGGACACATTTAGACAATGGGATGATGAACTGTCTGTCATTGTCTGTACCAGCAATGTCGGGGCACAATTAAATAGCAGACTGATAGATTTGTAACTCCTTATGAAGAGTTGTGACATTATGGGAAAAATCAATCAGGGGGGTTGAAAATGGGGGAAGGGGAATCCCAGACTATACAAAATTGTACAATAAATTTCAAAAATAAAAATTAAAAAAAACAAAAACAGAAGAGATGAAGCCATCATATCATGAACATATTCCTGTAATTGATTGCTTAAATAGATAATTCCATGAACTGGCCAACTGATTAATCAGAAATTCAAAGCATT